GATTAATTCGATCCCTTGAATCAGAATTCGGTAATACTGATTTCTCTTGTTTGATATTGCTATTGCTTTCTTGTTCTTTTAGAATTTTTTAATTATTTAATTTTCCCACTCTATTATATTCCGCATTCGGCTAAGAAATTATTCCCTAGCTCCCTGTGGGATTCGACCTAGTACCACTATTACTACAAAAATTTTATTGTGGGACTAGCATTAATTTTGAGGGCTTCGACAACCCGTCAGTCCAGTTTTATGAAGTAAGCCGCTCCATGTAATTCATCCAGCATGTTGTCCACTGATGGAATTGGAAATCGATCCTTGACAGTGGCTGCATTTAGTGCCCTATAATCTGTGCAAAACCTCCAGGACCCATGTTTTTTCTTCACCAGCAGAACGGGAGAGGAGAATGGACTGGTACTCGGTCGAATGATTCCCATATCCAACATTGCTTGCACTTGCTTCTCGATCTCTGCTTTTTGAAAATAAGCATATCGGTATGGACGAACATTGATGGATTGTGTCCCTTCTTTCAAAGGAATGTGATGGTTGATTTCCCTTAACGACGRCGACTTGGTGGGCTCTTGGAAGATGTCCCCATACTCTCTTAATAGTTGCAGCATATCTGTTGGAACGTCGTCCCACTGAAACTCTTCTAAGGCTTGAGCATAAATTGCAAAAACCATCTGACCTTGGCGGTGTTCCTTCGTAGTAGTCTTTAAAAAAGTAGCWTGAAGCCCGTTTTGATTTCCTTGTAGTCTGTGTGCTTGATTTTCCCATTTGAAATCTATTGTCAATTGCTTCCAATTACAAAGTACGGACCCCAACATTTCCAACCATTGAATTCCTAAAACCATATCCAACCCAGCCAATGGTAGTGAATAAAATGTAAGTTAAAATGGAATTCCTTGTAAGACTACTGGTACCTTATCAAATCGCCCTTGGCAGAGGAGTCGCTCTCCATTAGCTACATGGACTGTGAATGCCTTGGTTGGGACTACTGGCAGCCGTAAAGAATCAGCTATCYTATCACTTACAAAGTTGTGCGTGGAGCCGCTGTCAATTAATACTATTACCTCTTGCGTCCCAATTGTAGCTGTGATCCGCATAGTCCGTGGTGAGGTCCATCCTGTTATTGCATACATTGATATTTCTGGCTCCTCTTCCCCGATTAGCAGCGATCCATCACCCACACAGCTATCACCATGAGATTGATTGTCGGTGTGGCATTCAAGGAGAAGGAGTTGCGGGCCTTGATATTTATGGCCAGGAGTAAACCTCTCATTGCAACCGAAACAGAGACCTTGAGCTCATCTCTTTTGCATTTCTTCCCAACTCAAGCGTTTAGGGGTGACCGGCRAGGTCCACGGCACTTGAGGGGCCTTTGTAGGAGATAGGTACTGGGAAATTGGTCGGGCAAACCTCCGCTG